TTGGCCACTAACAGTAAGTAGTTACTATTTAGTAGCTAGTGGGCGTTCGCAGACGCGGGCGCAGCATGAGACAGTGTAGAACATGAAAACTGAGAATCTCTTGCAACTTATGCAATCTGCTGCTCGCAATACATTCCGACTGAGAAACTGCACTGGGCCCGCGTATCGCGCTGTTTTTCAACTCAGCCGTTTCCGATGTACTGGAAGAGCAAATATGAGTCTCCCCTATGCCCTTCCGATTAGGGCACATCATTAAAGGCAGTTGGCACGATGGTTTCCTACTTAGCCTAAAATGCTAGTAGGGCGCTGTATAGTGGGGAAATGGCGAAAGAAGTGAAACGGTCAAAATCCTGCGAAGAAAAAGCCTCCGTTCTCAGTGACTTGTAAATCGATTTCGGACGAGTTTCCCGTAGGCATCTTACCAATCACCGCTACCGAAGATACGGCGGCTGCATATGTGTACCCATGTATGCATGCAGCATCACGGCCGCTTCATACCAATCCCTTCGCTTCATAATTTGCTTAGCAAATGAATGAATACGAGCGTCAGGAACGGTCGTCCATTTGTGGGCGGGCGTTTGGGACGTAAAGTTGTGGCTTGATAGGGCCCTTATAAGGGCACCTTCCTCGGGGAAACCGCTATGCAGCGCCTGCCCAGGGTCGCGGAATTCTATCCTGCCAGGAGTATTGATCCTAGTCGTCTTGGGGGATTTATCGTGCCAACTGCCTTTAAGAGATTCCCTGAGGAGGGGTCGTGTTGGACAAAGAGGAAGATCGTAAGCAGGGTCACTCGCCATCAAACTGCGCAAAAATGTGAATATCCGAACCGGATCCAAGTCCCCTAATTATGACACCAATAAGCTGCTGGTTTCTGCTTCATGGGACTCACTGTGAGATTCCAGTGCGGAGCAGGTTAGTTCCCCGCGAGGGAAGAGCAACTTTACATGTATTAGCAACGCATGTCTCCTGAAGACAAACCCTGCAATTGTATATTGCGGATAAGAGCGTTCATTCCAAACTTATAGCCGCTAAATGAACTTCCAGGAAAGAAAAATGTAAAAAAACATGGAGAACACGGAAGACACACGCTGTGCTGTAAGAAAGTGGCCAGCCTCCCCGGTGAGTTCCACAGACTGCCTCGGTTCTTTATGCCAGTAGGGATATCCTGCCATTGTCTGACTCACATAGTTCTTTGCGATCATCCATTCCGATCCAACAGGTGAAAAAAAACGCGGCGTGAAAAACTTGAACTTGTTTGGCCAGAAAAATGGCAAATGGGTTCTAATTTGGGTGGGCAGGCGACACTGGAGGGGGAGGAAGGGAGGGGCGCTCTGGAGAAATGCTTTTTATGAGGACCATTAGCACCTCCGTCATCTTACTATCAGCCTTCGAAACTGGGATTATCTTCCTTTAGAAGTTGTTTTTTGGATAACTGCTGTTTTACGCCGCAGTACGCGTTACGAAAGTTATCACAAGAATGCTGAGTTATGGGCAAAAGTCGTGCCCCAGGCGGGAGTCGAACCCGCACCTCACGCTTTCCGGGCTTCGGCCTCGCGTTCCACTGCGATATCCAACCGATTACGCGCGCGAACCGGCCTCACCATGTAAACGGGTTGTGAGTATTCGTCGTGACCTGTAAGGTTGCATAAGCGTTAAGCTGAGCAGAAAGCCCCGCGTGCATGCGTGCAGCGAAAGCGTAGGCTTGCAGTTCGACTCCAGCTGGTGCCACCAACTTTTTGTCTTATCAGCACCTTGTGATAACTTACTATTAGAGATCTAGTCACCACACCACAGGAGGAGTCAAGGAATTGTCTGAGCATCTTCAAGATTTCGTTGCACTTAAAAAAGGAGAAAGGAGGTCGGAAGGTAGGCAATAGCTTGTCGTTTTCAAAGATATTCGCATTAACGGAAGGGTGAGTCATCTTTCAGTGAACAGAGCTAGAGCCAATTATAAATAGTGAGCAAAACTTTTATTAAAAACCTTATGCAGTAAAAAAATGAAACAGTATCGAACAGATGAGCCCGTAGTAAAGGATAACAAATCGGGAGAAATCAGTGAGTGATGAGAACATTCAGCTGAGACCTTGCACATTTGCGAGCGTACAATTACAATGGCGAGAATGAAGAATCGATCGAGATCAAAAGAGGTCTATTTTTGTGAAAAAAACCCTGTTAGTGTTCATTTAAAAGACCACATTCGAATCTTTTGATGATAAATATGATGCTATGATAGGATCTGCGGCTATGATTCGCTCTAAATCTTTCTCGCCAGCATGCAGCTCGTCTGAACACAACAAATCTGACTCCGGCTCACTTTAGTCCGGTAGAAACGTTCACTTAGCCTTGGGAGAGTGATCCTGAAAATAGGCAGCTCTGGTTAGGTACCGCAGATTAATGACAGTTTCACACTGACAGTATGGGCGGAGACAGTCCGGCATTGTGCCTCCCTCATCTCTCTGATCATTCCCGTCCAACAAGGGAGAGCGCACCAATGAGGAAGGCACGGAGGTGGGGCTTCCCAGCCCGCACGAACAGCGTGAACTGCACCTCTACATTCGAAACAGTTCTCTTTTCCTCAAAGAGTATAATCAACGGAAAAATTCACGTGCTTTTAGCTTCATTCAAGAGGAAACGGGTGGCAAGACTGTTCCTTAGTTTTCCAACATGTCCCCAACAGGGCGATCGGCACCTGGGGGCGTTAATTTTGTTAGGACGAACAATAATATTGCCCAAAAAGCTACAGATAGACTCGAAGCAACATAAAACCTTCGCATGCCCCTTCTGTAACATCCTAGAATGTCCCACGAGGTATTTAGCCACCCAGATATTCAGCCGCCAATTCTCAAAGGCCTTAGATCACAGTACACGCGATCGAACATGGGGTAGATGGGGAACATCGTGTCTACCTATTGATGCGCCCTCCAGGTGTTGTGGTTATTGGTGTGAGAAGCAAACCAATGAAGAATACACAGTGATTGACTAGATATCAGTATATCCTCTTACCCCCCCCCTAAAGTTATGCGTTAAGTGCTGTCTTTAGGCTTACGGAAATTCCCCATTTTCTCAGCCCTTCTGAAGAGGTAGGGCGGCAAAACGTTAGCCATAGAAACTCACTATCTTTGACGAGCTGCTGTACGTAACTCATTAACAAGCCACGGAAATCCGTTGAACTACCAGTCGTCTTCGCCGCCAAAAGCCATCCTTCCAACAACGATTGTTTGACTGACGCAGAAACGTTACGTGGTACTGACGGCAAAAGTCCAGGCCTGAAAAAACCGACAATGGCTCACTCAAGATAATGCCAAGATGATCGCGCATCTCGCAAGCCACTATTACCCATGGCGACTTGACTACCCGTTTTCGTCGCCTTTCAGTAGCTTTCCTATCGCGTCCATCGGGTTAAAGCTCATCGGTATTCGATAGAATCGCACAGAGCTTCATTTAGCACGGTGGACATCGAAATCACTATTTGCCTTAAAAGCTATCATGTTGACTGTATTAATTGATCTAGTAACACCTCATTATACTGAACTTTTGGGACAGCAGTGCATGCGGATTGAGCCCTTACGTGCAGCGTCCTGGTGACGTATCTAACGCGGGGGGGTGAGACTGCTCCGCAGTTGCTTTTCACCAAAGACTTGCCAGTAAGCCGCCCGCCTCCAGCCATCGTGCCACTGGCCTTTGAAATGAAATGTTTAAAGCAATTAGCTTAATCAATGTACTCCTCAAGGTCAACTTCAAACCCAACATAGATACATTTGGGGATCGGAAAATCGAAGAACATGTAAAAGGGATAACATACGTATCGATTGGATTTCACCTCATCCAGATGGTAAATGGGCGAGGACGAATAGTTCCCGGGGTTGACCAAATATCAGTGCCTTGTCTAAGGTAAGGGATGGAACAAACATGGGTCACTGTGGTTAGTTTTCCCTAAGTCTATTTCTGCTTCCTATCAGATGGATACATATCGATCGGCAGGACCGGGGAACTGAAGAATCCGCTGTGGGGCTTGGATATGAGGTGATTTCGCCGATTATTCATTTTTCTAGGCACAAGTTTCTCTACGTAGATTCTCCGATTCTCCAAATAATCCCTGGGGGTCGAATCAATCAATTTGCATTTTTTTCCTTTACGCGTATTCTCTTATTCTTCTGAAAAGTGAAGTATGAACGTGGCCGCAAGATACAATCGGAAACGAACCAGCAATTCATGTCCTGTGAAAAAGTGAAAATGTTCCCAGTTGAGAATCCTAACAGAGGTATTCCACTTGAGGTTACTGATATCGACATGAGATTTGCATCTGAATTTAACATTTGAAATCAATCAAGCACCGTCGGTTTAGAACCATAGTTGAAGATTCATGCCCGTTTTTGATGCTATGAACATCTCACCGCATAGTGAGAAAAAATCGGAGAGCGGATACGTTCTCGGTGTATCCTACCACGATTTTAAACATTATTTGGCACAGGGGCAGTCATTGTATGGCCGGAAACAATCAACCATTACGCCTTCTTCGTTAGTGCGCAACACCTACCTTAAATAAGAGGAGCCAGCCAATAAGAAAGCTGCAATGTTTGACTGTCTCCGCCATCATGAACAGTGTGGACAGTCTTAGTGTAGAAATGACGCGGAGGATCGACCCAACCGGTCTCATCCAAACAGGGTCAAACAGAGCATCGTGATATGTGAAACAGTGGTATAAATTTGACACCCCCCCCCCCAAAATCCCCGTTTGGATCGATCGCTTCTCTCCATCTCCGACCAACCATTTTCTTAATTCTCCCACTTTGCTAACCATAACCAAACCTTCCCCGCCCCCCCCCCCCGATCGTTTGACAGCTTTTCAGGTTCTCCGTCCAATTCCCCCCCGCGGAGCGAAAAAAAACTGCCATTCGATCGGGAAGAGGGTATAGACCCCTAACCGACAACACAAAAAAAATCGGAAACAGCCAACTAACCCGGAAAAACTTCCCTTTCGATCGCGACAAACCTGGAGAGTTCGTCTACGGAAATCTTGAAGGAAATAAGAAGCCCAGAAGGAAAAACGACCAAACACTTTAGGCGTACCTTTTAACAACAATCAGCTGATCGATTGGCGAGCATTACTTATGGCTTTGAGTCTTGTCGATATCCCTGAAAAAGCGACGCTCAAAGTTTCCGACAAGGACGATTACAGCAATTACTCTACCCGCATCGAACATCAACGTAGTGGCGCGCTCCAGTGGAGTACGTTGAAACAGCCCTTGCTGAAGGGTGACCCCTTCCGTGCTGGCTAGACCTACACCATTCCGCGACTAGTAACTCGCTCGTATGCATCTATCGAGTGAACATAAATCCAAACCTTTATAGGCTGCCAGTCTCAGCTCATCTCTGGGGAAGAAAAAGGGCGGCGCAAACGTTGAACGCGCTCAAAAGAACGACTATCTATGGCTTTGTCATTACTTGGAACCCATTCCGGTTACTTCAAGACGCCAGAAGAGCTCAACTACGAAACTCGAGAGAGCTAGCGAGAGTGAGCGACTCAGACAGGGTGAGAAACATCGACTAGCAACTGCAAGAGAAGAAATCAGACATCGCGACAAAAAACTACTACCCCATTAGCATCGCTCACTCTCATACAAAAAAAAAAAAAAATCGACTCGACAGTCAGCGACGGCGACTATCCAATTTTTCGCCGAAGCTCTCAACGCCAACGCCCCTGGCACCGCACCACGGAGCTTCCGGTGGCCAAGTCGATATACCCCTCCAGCCAGGGACTGCGGAACCGCGCTTCTCATACATGGAAAATGCCCCACTTTCTTACACGAAGAAAAGACCCCATCCACACAGGTTATCGCCAAAAGTGCATTCAAATATTCCAGAACCTTATCTGGCAACTCTAGCAGCCTTCTGGGTACACTGGGGGCCCGGAGGCCTCCTTCAGTGCCCAGACTTGGAAACAGTGCACAAAACAAGATCCTACCATGTGCTTAAATGCCCTGTTTGCGTGAGCACAAACATCTTGTGGCCGTTGATCCCCATTCGCACTGGCGCCGAATCCAGCTGATTTCGGAAATGCACTTTGCCATTCTTGCTTGAGTACACGAAAATACTGCGATCATAGCATCCGATAATTGTCCAGAACCTGGTCAAATAGAAATTAAAAGGTTTTAATTACAGTTTACAACATCAAAGAACAGGGAACCAAGAAAGTTAAAAGTTACATATTGATCATGAGACCTGGAAAACCGGAAAGTCGCAGATTTTTGAAAAATTGCGGGGGGAGGGGAGGGTGAAAATCAGCCATGTAACACTTTTCGCTTGATTCTCCAGAATTCTGAAAGATTTGCAGTATGCGAAAATATCTGCTTAAACCGTTGGATACTACGGTCCAAGGCGGTGCGGGCCAGGAGATCCGAGATGCGGCTGCGCGGCGCTCCAGGTGTCGTCGAGTGCGCGGTGCATGTGGGTACAGTGACCACAGATCATGACAGAGCTGCGGGTGACGCAACTCGTGCCTCTTGGCCGCACGGCGTGCCTTGCAGCTTATGCAAACTGAAACTCGCGGTAGCAGAGCGACTATGGCAGGTAATGTCTGTACGTCTGATCCCTCTTACTGAGTCAATTTTCGAAACTTTGAAATGGTTTCGGAATAGCTAACGCGTATGATTTCGTGCAAGTAAATGGCATATCTACCCATTCCGCATTCTATCGATGAGAGAGTGCAGAAGAGCAGAAAATACATAATTGTACTGTTCAGGGTACCGCATCATTCTGGAAATCCCATCGGGGGTAGTACTTGATCGGCCTGAAGGGGGAGGGGTCGTGTCTGGCCTCGAGATTTCCGGTGATCGATTTTCCTCGTCCCACGCATGCTAAAATCCCTCTGCTGCGCATCTGAAGCCAGTTTTCGGGGGAGAAACTGAATTTTTTTAGAAATCGGTGGTGAGCTGGAATTTGGTAAGAAGCTAGGTGCG